TGAATTCTATAGATTTCAAAAGAGAAGAATTTAAAACCCACATTAGAAGGAAACCGCATTCAATTAATCAATGTGTCAGCTTACCTCCAAAAAAATAAAATAAAAAAAATAAAAAGTAGCATAAAGTATAGAAAAAAAATATATCATTAAATGCTACAAGATAAAAAAAAAAAAAAAAAAAAAAAAATCAGTGCTGAAAATATATCCCCATGTTGGATAGAATAATTAATATAATAAAAAAATGGAATGGCATATTTGGGGTTAATTAAATTAATAATAAGCAAATAATGAAATATTAGTTGCTTTTTTTTAAAAAATAGCAAAGCTAAGAATGTACATATTGGAATAAGTTAAACTTGAATAATTAAAAATATTAAACAAAAATTATTTTCTTAATAAAAAATATGTAAATTTTTGAAGACTATATTTTTTTAAAGAAAATTTTTTTTTTTTAGTTTCAAAACTTTCCTTTCAATAAAATTAATAATAATAATTTCAGATATTAAAATTATTATATTAATTAATATTAGATGGGTAACAATTTTTGGACATTGTATATTTATTTTCCAGCGTACCCATGTCGCTACTGAATGGGGAATCAAAGTGGAGGTTTAAAGTAGGTCTTGGGGACACCTAAAGATTGCTTTTGGTAACATATATCCCTTTAAAATTAATTCAAAATTAATAACAATAATAATAATGGCTGACATGTCTTCACCTAAAAATAAAGATATTACTGTTTGTACTAATACTACTAGTCCATTTGTCTTAGTAGAGAAGTTCTAACTCTCTTCCCTTCTGTTTCAGCAATTCTTTTGTATCTAAAATATTTGAATAACATTTGCAGAAAGCATTAGAAATATAAAATAAACTTTAAAATATTAACAGCTAATTTAAAAAAATTAAAACTAATATATACATAATAGGAAATTGATAATATATATTAAGTTGGGAGGGAAGTCCTGCCATATTTTAGGCATGATCACTTTCAGGGTATTTTTTCAATATTTACAGTAAAATAACAATTTTTACATTCTAATTTTTTTGTTCTCTTTGAAGTTTATTTAATATCAGGGTGGGTAAATTTTGTATTGATTTTACACATTTAAAATGAGTTTAGATCAGACTCATATCAGACATTGTGTGCTGTGTGGATTCAAAAAGGGCTCTTTAGCAATGCAAGTGGTAAGAAATATTATATCTATGGAAATTAAGTGTCTGCACAGGCCAGTGATGGTTTGTTTAGTTTCAATCAGGAAATTCTTTCTCTTGGAGATTCCCTTTATTCAGAATGACCAAGTTCTGACAATATTGAGTTTCTGCAAACTGTAGTTAAGGAAAATCCTAAGTGAACTGTACAGTAATTAGCAAAACATTTTAATACGAGTCACTCTTTAATTATTAAAACCCTTTCATTAACTTGAAAAGTGTTTAAACTTGGTCAAGAGGTTCTTCATCATCCAATTGCTTAAAGATTTGCTTTCAGCTCATCATTGAAGAACCTTTCCTGGATAGAATAATTTCCAGTGATTAAAAGTGAGTTTTCTATAATTATATCATATGAAAAAAACAACAATGGTTAGCACCCACTGAAAATAGAGACCATTTTGATTGATTGATTTGTTGTTTTTTTTATATCTTATCAACCTTTTGTAGGTTATTTAAAGCTAAAAATTATTTTAAATAGTAAGAATTTTTTTGAAGATAAAAATGATTTACTGATACAAATCCTACTAACTAACCCATAACTGGAGGGAAGTAGTGTATTCAACCCTTTCCCAAGGGTATTTGTGCATAAGTGAATATAATGGACCCAACTGGAATAGAAACTTCATTCTCCAATTCCAAGTCATTATCCATTATACCACCTGCACATCCAAGTTTACAGCACCTGGTATTCCCAAGTGGTCACTCATCTAGGTACTGACCATGCTTGACATTGCTTAACTTATATGACATGGCCATAAGCACCTCAAAACCAGTAATACACCCAAAAGAAATTGTGTTTGGTGAGATATGAAAAGTGTTGTTTATCATGAAGTACTAAAGAAAAATGAAGTATTGGGTGCAAAGTAGAATAGTCAGCAATAGGAAGCATCGCCATAGTGATTCATGAAAAAATGATGGTACTAAATATGAAAGTGTTTGCCTCATCCTCCTTAGTCTCCTGTCCTTGCTTCATCTGATTATCATCTTTTTAGCTCATTAAAGCATATTGAGAAAGAAAACAGTTTATTAATTGTGAAGAGGTTAAAATTAATATTGAGTGTTTCTTTGCATCAAAACCTGAAGAATTTTATGTCTGAGGGATCAATGTTTAAAACGAAATTATGTTTTTGATAATAAAGGGAAATATTTTGATTAAATATATCAGTTGAGATCAAAGAAGCATTTGATTCTTTTCCATCTTCAAATGTGACAGGACATGCTTTCCAACCTAATAAAATTCCTTTTTTTTTTTCATTTTTAAATGAGTGTTCTCACTTTTAAATAAGAGGCAAATTAGAAATAATAAAGGAAAAATATTTTAATTTTATCTAAATATATTTTAATTTAAATTCTTGCAAGATCACATAACAGATGATTAACATTAGGGAAAGATATGAAGTGGAACAAGAAAGTTCCTGAACTGGACCTCAAAAGCAAAGTACACCATTACTTTCTGTCTAAATTTCTGGGATGAGGAATTATTATTTACATTCAAACAAATGTCTTCATCTTTGTTTTTTTTTTATTATAACATTTTGGCTGTTTTACTCTGTGGTCTTCTTCAAGTTTTTGATAATCTAGGTAACCATTACAGAACTGTTTATTTAATCTACAGAATTATGTTCATTCCACTGTCCATGTTTAGGGATATCTTGTTTTGTGTTTATTTAGTACTAATGAGTTGTATTTCAATTTGTTTCAAATGAGTCCAAGTCTACCATTCCCAGAGAGTGAAGTCATGATTACTGTGTTACCAAATGAACAAATCAAAGCTTTAAATCTACTGTCTCATGGGACAATACACCATCACAATAATAGGGTTTGTCCAGTGATAATCGACAAGGAGTTTACAAATCTTTTTCCATATTTTCTTGGGTTGTTTTTGCTGATTGGTCACCCTGAACACACCCTAAAAAACCGTTTTTGACCTAAAGAGAAAGCATCTCAAGGATCTCAGTCACACATCTGTCAAGATTCCCGCAGGATTTTATGCCGGCATGGTGCTCAGATTTGTCTGTTATTATCAAGACAGTTTAATTATTACAACATATGAAACCTTGTGCAATAATCAAATGTGAATAGATGAAACCCTATTGGTAGACTAACTCTGTTTGATGGGTACCATCAGGTATTAGCTATATACATATTTCTATTGAACAGAACAATAAAGATACAGTCTGGGAACTTTCCAATATCACTTTATATGCAAACAAATGCTTATTTCTTATATACAATGAAAATGAGAAAATCTGCAGTCAATTGCTGAAGTCTCCTGACGAGTGGATGGAACGATTGCTAAATGGTTCATTTATGAATATAACATCAGCTAAGTGGCAAATTTTATTTGTATTAATCATACATATATAGTAATCATAATACAACTCACTGACCCCACCAAAATATGTAACAATTACTAGAATTTAATGTATTTTTAAGGCTAGCAGAATTCTTTGAAATAAGTGCTCATTCGATAAGTAGGATGACAATAATCTGTAAAGAATTAGTAAATGTTCAAAGAATTTATCTCATTGACCATTTCCAAAGTTTCACATAGCAAAAGAATACTCATCATTTTATATGTATGTATATATACATGTAGTAATCTATTGGTATAATCCAGGCATGTCCTATTAACACAACTTAGAATTTGAAATATGTTAAAACTGACTCACAAAAAAGCGCTCTTTGTTTATTCACAATAAACAGAGCAAATTTACTTTACAATTGGAATTACGATAATATTTAGTAAATGACCATTTTCACCTACGAATTTTAATTTTAAAATTCACAGGATTTTTCAAACTGTTTCTGGTATTGGCTTGTAGTGTACTCTTAGCCATAGTGTACACTACAAGCCAATACCAGAAACAGACTTATTACTGTTAATTTGCCCGGCATATATTGTTTGCTTGCTTTATATTATTTTTTAGCCTTGTTTTTTTCTTTTTCTTTTTATTGCTTTTTATTGTGAACTTTGTCAGTTCTGTTTGTTGGATAGTTCTAATTTTTATTTTACATTTAACCATAGCCACTCACTCTACAATAATAGATAGTAAAATGTTATGGTATGTAAAACTGGATAATATTAGAATATTGATTAGAATGTTATTTCTTTAGTTTAATATTAAGGAAGTATTGAACATAAAAATAAAATTCAGAGCAACATAAACTTTTCCATATTTTATAAGTAAAACAGAAAAATTACTTAAATAGAGTTGCCCTTTTTTTGTTTTACAGGACAGGTTAACTATTATTACTTATAATTGTTTAAACTGTACTACCTATATCCCATAATAGTTGCTATATCTATATACACATCATAAATGTAACAACTATTATGGGATAGAAGTAGTAAGTCATAATTGCAAATAAAGTATAATTAAAAAGAATTATGATAAATAAGATTTTTCAAAGATAAAATTCATTTAAGCAAAGCAGACTTTCTATAATGATCTGGAGGTAAACTAAAAATGATTTATGGAATAAAATGAAAACATAATCCCCAAATTAACCAGAATGCAAAGCGTTTTGACTTAGAATCTGAAGAAAAAGCAGAAATTAAGCATCAAAACCCAGAAAAAATTGCTTGAAAATCCAGTAGTTCCTAGCATGCATTATAGAAAAAAAAAAAATCAAATATTTGAAATTTTAATATGCAAATACCTTTGATGAATTGCTGAAATAAATATCTAAAAGTGAATCTTAAAGCTAGCTGCAGTTTTAATTCGTAAACTTCCCAACACCAAAATCCTACACAATAAAAGCAGACAGAGCAAAAGTGAATTGCCCTTTCACCTGCCGGGGGAGAAAGGCAGATGTAATTTACCTGAAGGAAGTATTAACTCGTGACCAATTGATGATTCAATCACAGACATTCTTTGGGGAATTTCTGACATATCTTCATTGGCACCAGCAGTTAAAGCATCACTTAGACTTTCAGATGTGGGTGTCTCCTGGTAGGGAGAGGTCTCTGAAGGCTCTATAGAATGATCGACCTGTACAGGAGTCTCCTGGTAGGGAGAGGTCTCTGAAGGCTCTATAGAATGATCGACCTGATCAGGAGTCTCCTGGTAGGGAGAAGTCTCTAAAGGTTTTATAGAATGATCGATCACATTAGAAGAGGGAGTCTCCGGATAAGGAGCAGCCTCTGGAGGTTCTACATAATTATTGAGAATAACAGAAGAGGAAGTCTCTGTGCTTCCAGGGGTCTCTGAAGGTTCTATCATAGTAGGAGTCATCTCCTGGTAATGAGAGGTTTCTGAAGGCTCTGCAGAATGATCAACTGTAACAGAAGAGGGAGTCTCCTGGTAGGGAGAGGTTACTGAAGGCTCTGCAGAATGATCGTCCACAATAGAAGGTAGAGTCTCTTTGCAGGGAGAGGTCTCTGAAGGCTCTGCAGAATAATCAACAGAAGAGGGAGTCTCCTCATAGGGAGAGGTCTCTGAAGGCTCTGCAGCATGATCCTCCACAATAGAATGAGGAATCTCCTGGTAGGGAGAGGTCTCTGAATGCTCTACAGGTTCATTGCCCATGATAGAAGAGGGAGTTTCTTTGCAGAGAGATGTTCCTGAAGGTTCTACAGATTCATCACCCATGACAGAAGAGGAAGTTTCATTGTATGGAGAGCTCTCTGAAGGTTCTGCTTCACCCATAATATAAGAGGAAGTCTCCTGGTTGGGAGAGGTTCCTGAAGGTTCTAGAGATTCATCACCCATGACAGAAGATGGAGTTTCCTTGCATGTAGTAGTCTCTGAAGAATGAGCATCCATAATATCAGGAGTCTCTAAGCAGGGAATTGTCTCTGAAGGTTCTGCAGACTGATCAACAGCAACCGAAGAGAGAGTCTCCTGGCAAGGAGACATCTCTGAAGGATCTACAGATTGATCGACTATCATAGAAGAGGGAGTTTCCTGGGAGGGAGAGGTTTCGGAAATTTCTATAGAATCACTGACCATGACATGAGGTTCAATATTGCCTTCTGTTTCACTCTCACTATCACTAGGACTTGCTTGGTCATCATAGAAGGCTGTTTCAGTTCCTGGGATGACCTCATTAATTTCATATTCTTCGGCCACTTTCCCATTGTCAGCATCGCAAGATTCATGTTTTGTCTTTATCTTTTGTACCATTCTTGTTTTAACAACTAAACGCTCATGTACTTTGCCAGATGGTGATTTTTCTTCAATTGTCTTGACAATTTTCTCAGAATGAGGTGGTGTTTCAAAGATTTCAAGTGTATCTAAATGTTCTGTTCCTGGGACATCTACATCACCTTCAAAAACCTTTTCAACATTACCATGAGCCACAACCTCCTTTTGCAAATGAGTAATTGAATGCTTCTTAATCTTTTTAATGTGATGCACTGTGCCATCATCTAAAACCTCTTCATAATCTTCAACCTTCGTTTCTTCTCGGGGAGCTTCAGACCTGGTTATATATTCAATAGTTTCCTCAACTGGCCCTTCTGATGTTTTTGAACAAAGCCTCATTAGCTTATGTTCGACCCGGGTACCATCAGGTAGGTTTTCTTCATACTCTTTCTCTTCAATAGTCTCAGTAGTAACATTTCCATTGACTGCAAAGCAGAGATAACTATTTTATTACTAAGAGGGCAAGAATAAGTTTTATCAAATGAAACCAATTCTCTAAAAGAGTTAAAACCAAAACTTAACAAAATATATAAGAAAAAAAATCATGCATCGAAAGAAAGTTAAATTGTTATATTCACTATATTTGATTTCTCCATTAAAATTTTCAAGGTAAACCCTAAGATGGGGAAATCAGATAACGACCTATGTTTGCTTATTTTGAAAAAGTCTTATGAAGATCTGAATTAGACAGCATGCCTGTTTGTAGACATGCACAAAATAGAAAAACAGGTGAACAGTAAATCAGAAACACATGCATTAGATAATCACAAGTTAAGAAAAAAATAAGAGAAATAAAGTCCTTCATCCATTGTAAAAATCATGCAAAAAGAAATGCAGCCATAGTTCAAATTTGGAAATGTGATGCTTTAAACAAGTATGGAAGAATCAATAAGCATAAAAATTTGTAAATTTGTTTTAAATAGATATGGAAGATCAAAATAGATAATAATTTGGAAATGGAAGATTCAATAAGCATAGCTTGAAAAATGAAGGATTTTAAACAAATATGGAATATCAATTAGCATAAAAATTTGCAAATTTGTTTCAAATTGTTATGGAAGGTCAAAACAGATAAAAATTTCTAAAGGCAATATTTAAAACAAGTATGGAAGATTCAATAAGCATAACTTGGAAATGAAGGATTTTAAACATATATGGAAAATCAATATATATGAACATTTGTAAATTATTGTTTTAAATAGTTAAGTAAGGTTAATGTGTATTTACTTTGGCACAATGGTTTCAAAATTTGTTTTAAGTGTTCAAAATTTGTTAAGAAAAAAGGAAAACAATAGAAAATTCTGAAAAATTTACCAGTTTATATAAATATTAAAAATATAAACTAATATATATATATATATATATATATATATATATATATATATATATATAAAAAGCATAAGATATTACCTCTGTCCCATAGCAGTTGTTATTTAGTCTATGTAATATGTATGCAAATATAACTATTATTATAGGATAGAGGTAGTATAAAATAATATTTTACAAGTATAATATAAATTTATAACCTGGCACACTTAGCAAAAATCAGTATTTTGATATTTGTCCACTGAAATGGGTCAGGCTGAAAAGTTTCCAGAACCCCTCCTTTCTAATAATAATAATAATAATAATATATGTTAAATAGATAATTTAATAAACATCTATAAACTTATGAGTAAAATTTAAGATTCTTACATAATATAATTTTGAGAATTAAATAAAAGAAATACTTGGAATCTAGATGGTTCGATTTTAATGAACTACTTTTATGAAGGCAATTCTCAGAATTCCTGGCAGAAATTTTGAACAATTAAACAAATCCTGCTGGAAAGTTTTAGAGAAATCAATGATTATCATAAAATTGTTTTTAGTCGAGAAAGCTTTCAATAGAGAAAATGCTCAAAGCTGCAAAGTTAGTAAAAAGAAAAAAAGTCTGAAATTAAAAGCAATTTTAATCAACTGTATCCATGACAAATCAATACCAAATTCAATTTGATGACATATCTATTAAAGTGATCCAATTTCTGTTTATGTGTATTTGTTATAGCAACACAGCAAAAAGAGCACATCATAAAATTTCTGTTAGGGCAATACTATTAAAATGTTCTAATATAAAAATAAAGCAATTCCTAATCCAATTTGAAAATTATTAATAATAATAGTATCGAGCCAACTTTCGTGCTCACCCCAATAATAATGATCTGATCTTTTTTATGTTTGTGCTTGTTACTAAATCTGAAAAGAAAATCATATCAACATTGAAAGAAAAAATATTAAAAGATGATAATGTTGCTTGTGAAATAATGATCCCTTTAGTTGGAGTTTGGTTAATTACAGAGTAATCTTCCTTAGTTTATATGCAAATGCTTATAATAGAAATTTTATGAATTTGAAAATGACTTGACGTTGAGCTCAACAGTTATATAGTATGGACAAAAAGTTGTGGCAATATTTCTTTTATCACTCCCCTTACTCTTCTTAATATTCAAACCATAGACTTCTTTTAAATAATATAAAGCATTATAGGATGATACTTAAACAAGAAATTTAAAAGAGAGAAATTAAAATTACATAAAATGAGATTTTTAATAGGGTAGGGTGATCATCTTGTATGCATGTGAGAGGTTGCTGAAAAGATTTTGGCATGACCCACTTTCCAAAATCAATATTCTGATATGGAATTACTGATTTTGGAGAATGGGTCAACCTGAAAATTATTCAGTACCTCATGTATGTTATATATTATTATTTTAGCCAATAACTACTGAGATTTGAGAATGAAAAGAAGCTTTAAAACATTTTAGAGTTATAAGAAAATGTAGATGTTTTGAAAATGGCAATTTATTGAAGCTCTGTGCAAAGCCTGAAGCTACCAAGTTCAATTTCATGTTATTTTAAAATCTGTTTACTCATTAAAAATTCACTTTTACAAGAACAATATAAGTTAATTTCAACAACATTAATGTACAGATATAAATGTTAATAACATTTGAATTATTATAGGACAAAGATAGTATTATTTATTCATTATTAGCTTTGTCCCATAATAGTTGTTACTTTTGCATAAATATTTCCTAGACTAAATGAAACAATGATTATGGGACAGAAATCATGTTATATATGATAATTATATACATATATAAAACACAACATTTTTTTTTTTTTACATCACCAGAAGATGTCACTTCATAGAGAAGGGTTAATCTTCCTATCTGTATGTAGTTGATTCATCTGATGATATAAATAATAGCTGGCCACTCGTATTCAAGAATACCTGTCTATTGACACACTAGTTCCTTGGTGACCACTGAATGAATAGGATTACAAATGGTTAAATTATGATTAATCCTAAACACTATATATATATATATATATAAAAAATGAAAAAATCCGACAATTATTTTTAAGCTATTTTTTTAATGTTTATACGTTCTTTTTATAGATACAAATATATATATATATATATTATAAACAGAGGATTTACTTAAATATTTGTATCTATAAGAAGAACATATAAACATAAAAAATGTCTTATATGTATATATATATGCAAACATAAATAATCATCAGTTGAATATTATTAGTGTTTTCCTAAATATTCCTTGCCATATAATAGCTGCATGTGTTTAGGAATATATAATTTAACCCTAAACAGGACAATAAAATCATTAAGATGCCTACTGAGTAGAAAGGACAGTATTCAAAAAGAGAGATGATGACAATTGATGTTGCATTTAAAATTTTTTAGGGTCACAGTTGACAGGAAAGCAAGATGCTGGAAGAGAGTTCCACAGTTGGGAAGTCTGAGAAAAGAAACTATGAGAATAAAACTTATGGTTACATCCAGCATGGTATCTAAATCACACTCACATTTTACTGAATATGACAGACAGTAAATATATTTCCTAAGCTTTTTATTCAGATTTTTCTAGTGTCCTTACAGTTGTTCTTTTACAAGAACTAAGGCGATGTCCTGAACACTTTCATTTATTTTCAAGTGGTGGTTGTGGAGGGGGTAGTGGTTTGGAATAATTTTTATTTTTAGTATATTTTGTTTAGGTTTCTTATACTGTACAGTGCGAGAACCTAGTAGTATTAATTTCATCAATATTGGAGTTTTTAGAATTCAAAACTAAGCCACATTGCCTTAGCTGCCTTCAAAGCAACTAACATTAATGTACAATAAAAATTAATCCTTCTCCCTTGAAAATGGCTGAAGTATTAACCAAATGTGCTTGGGACATTTGTCACTTAGAGCAACTTGTATATACACACTGTTAGTCCTTATAAAAGAAAAACTGTAAGGACACTAGAAAAAGTGAATAAAAAAAATATTCCCTCCTCATCATATTTAAGGAAACATGTATAAAAAGAGATTGCTACCCAAATATTCAATAAATACATATATATATATATATATATTGGAAGAGCCAAATACAGAGCACTGGTGTACAATATACCACAAGGTCCACAAACAACCCTCCACAAGTTTTGAATTTAGAGTTGTCCTTCTAACCCGCTCACCATAGGACCCAGTCTGTCCTGTTATTTACCTATAGCTGGGGGGAGAAGAGATAGATTCATACCTTTCCCAAAGGTATTAGCAAGTAAGTGAATGTATTGAACTCAGCTCTCAGATTACTCAATCTGAGCCACTATCCATTACTCCACTGTGCCTCATAATCAAATGATATGTGCAGGTAGTCTGGCTGTCGGTTCAAAAAACTGAGCTGCCTGACCCTCATATGTTGAAAACAACAGGAGAGTCTAAATATATATATATATATATATATATATATATATAT